GACCATGAGTGAGGATAAATGAGGGAACACTGGCTAAAATACACACTGCCTGGGAAGCAAACTTGGGGTGACTTCAGAGCAGTGTCAGAGCCACATAACCTGACACAAACACATCTCTCCCTCTTGGTGGCAAAAGCAGGGAATGGTGCAACTTCCCAAGGAGCCTCAGTGCCTGCTGCTGGGTACAGCCCCGGGAGCACCTCTGGAATTCAGCTTGGGCTGCTCCATCCTGGGTCTTCCACAATGGCTCCTCTCCCTCTTGGGCTGCCTGCCAGTCACCCCTTGGGACTGACTGGACTTGGGGTTGCACGTGGGTTGAGCACTTGGGGTTTGGGTTTGGGGCTGTCTCCAGCTTGCTTGAGGGAATCTCAGTTTAATTAAGGTGTAGTGCCTTGAATAAAAATTATTGACTGCATTCCAGACCTGGTTTATGACTGCTACGGTAGCTTTAGTGAGATGGATAAAGTACCTTAATGCTGATCATGCTGCTCAGCCTCTCTCCACTTCAGATGGGAGCTTGGGAGCACATTGTATCACCCAGCTCTGGGCATTTATTGTTCTCTTAAAAGACTGAAGGTCCAAGTGCAGTGTCACAGCTCTGCAGCAAAGGTCCTGTTTTCCTTCTCACGAAGAAGCAGGGGGTCCAGCTGGAACATATATGGCTCCAGGGTGTGTGGTGACATCCACAAAAGTAGATAAAAATGAAATAATTATTCTTTCATTTACATTTTAAGGGCCTCTGAGGATTATAAATCTATACACTGCAAACAAAATTTTCCCTGGATCAAGATCAGCAAATTTTCTAATTAAACGTGATCACCTTTTTAAACTGAATTTGTATGACTTTTTAGTGGGCTTTTAGCTTCTGCATTTTTTCTCCGTTTGTGGCAGGAGAATCAAATTGATTTTAATTTTGATAATCTTGTTCCATTTTGGATTGTAAATTGCTTGTGTTGACATGGGAACAAATGCCCGGATTATTTCTTAGGAAAATCCTTATGCTTATGAAAAACACTATGAAAGCATTTTAGAGCAAACCATTGGAAAGCACCCATTGATTTCAAATAGTTGTGATACAGACATTTAATTTAGGATCATTTTAGAATGGTGTAAAGGTACTGATCTTCTGAAGAAGAACTCTGTGGAGATTCCTCCCTGTGCAGTGGGCAGGTGAACAGCTACAAAGGACATCAGCTGCTTACCCAGAGTGATTTGGCATGAGTGCTCTTCTCCAGTCAAGAATTGCTAAAAAGATTTCAGAAATGAGTTGTGGAGACAGGAGTGATTGTCATTAAATATGGGCTTCTAATTTTGCTGCAGATCATGGCCTAATAATGATTTCTGATCTCAAACCTCAGTGTGCCGTAAAGCCTTCACAGGTGACCGTCCCTCTTTGAACCATGGAGATGTTACCTAACCCCAAGATGTGGCTTCAAAGTACTGAAATAAAACTCAGCTCTGGCAGTAAGTGCATTCCTGTATTCAGAAAAATTTTCCTTCCCAGAGGATGAGACCCATCCACTGTGGTGGCAGGGATGGCTGGAGAGCCAGGCTTGATGGCAGAGCTCCGCTGGTAAAAGCAGAAGCTGCAAAGGAGCAAAGCTTGACTCTGCTTGTTACATGGAAGGAAAGATTCACTTCCTTGGGCATGTTCCTGGCATGGGCACAGCCTGTGGTTTAGTGGTTTAATATTCTCACTCTCCCTCCTCTGAAACCTAGGAAGAATTACAGCCTCGTAATTCAGGCAGCTCTTATTTATGCAGTTTCCAATACAGAAAGAACCTCATTCAAGAGCTGTCATTAAAAAACACCCCACCCTTTTTTGTTTCAGTGTTTATGACAGTCTGGACTATCTACTTTCCAAAGTGTCCAGGGTTCAAGTGAAATATCCCACTCCCATAAATCTCACACACCTCATGGGTACTGTAAAATCAACTGCGCTGGCAATGTCACATGGTAATTTCCCAAGCAGGTAGGGAGTTTTCAGCACCAAAATTTGGGAATATGGGTGAATACAGATGAGAGGAGATGTGGGTGTGTGCTGAGGAGTGGTGGCTTGCAGATGGCTGACCCACAATACAGGGCAGCATGCGTGTGCACTCTGCGTGCTCTGCACGGGACATATGCTCTGGGGTTTCACGGATGAATTTGTAGTCTCCAGCAATTTGCAGCTTCCACCCTGGTTTCAAATATCTACATCATTTTCAGGCTGATGATTTTTCCCAGTCATTTATCCCGAAAGCACTTCGTCCTGCTTAATCTGGGTCATAATTGACATGGGACTTGTGCTGAAGCAGACACGGCCGTAAGTTGTGTTTGAGTGGGCTGTTAATGGCAGGGATTTAGTTACGTGCAGTAAAACACAGCAGAGGTTGAAATAAGTATAAATGTTAAAATATCAGATAAATGCAGGGTCACAGTCACGACTTGGACCCAGAAAAGACTCTTGAACACTTGATATGCTCCTGCTGTCAGCTCACAGCTGCCTTTGGCTCTAGCAGAGGCGTGAAGTTGGAAATTTCGGGTAAGGAAGCTGTTGGAATTGGATCGTGTTTATTGCAAATCAACAGGATGTCTTTGCAGCTATAAAAGACATATGGAAAAGTCCACTGTTATTGTTGTACTTTGTTGTGTCTCCAGATGTTTTCCCTCCTGCCCCGCTCCAGAGGCTGAAAGTGGGAAATGGTTTTTCATTGTTTCTAGCTGATGGTGCCAACATCTGCCTTGACGTTTCCCTGGGGAATGATATCAGCACTGCTGAGAGAGTTTCAGATTCATCACTTGTGTCTCATTTGACTTTTTTTTTTCCTTTTAAATACAAGATAATGTCAGAGCATGAAGTTTCAGCCCTGCTCAGTTATTTTGAGGGGTGATAAGAAATCAAGGGAAACACTTGGGTGGTTGCTGGACTATTACAGCAGCACTTCAGAGCCTCCTTATTTTTGAAAAGCTGCAAATGAGGCTTTAAAACATTGCTCTGAGCTGATGTTTTTCACTGAAAGAAATAGAATTTGTGAGCTCAAACATACTTGAGGATCTCAAGATGCTTAAAATAGCTCTGTTTTCTTAACATGCATTTAATCCATCATTAGTTCCCAGTGCTTTACTCTGAGGGGAAGGGAACCAAATGAATATCTTCATTTGGAAGTGCTCTTTGCTGGTCATGTTTGCTTATAATGGTATTGTAAAGACTTAATACCATAGTTTAGAACCCAACTGGTTGATCAACTTGATAAGTGTGTAAATTAGCAAAGTTGGCCAAAGTGCTGACTGCTAATGAAGGTGCTTTTAATAGAAATGCAAAACAAAATAGAATTTTCTCCCCAAAGCTTCTGTACTTCCTCTTACCAATAAACAGCTGTACAGTATCAGATTATATTAATCTCCATATACTAATAAAATTATTATATCAATGATACTATTTTTTTAGTGCTTTAAAGTAGGAATGAACTCTGGAGAAAGTTTGGGCCAGAATTCTCAAGTGCAGACTTAGACTAGTTCCTGACTTTTGATTCCTTTATATTAGACTGTGGTTTCTGGTTCATTCTTTTACATCAGCTGGAAGAATCTGACCAGAGTCCTTAGGTAGCAATAGTGTAAATTTTAGCAATGTCTGTCCACGTTTAGGGAAGGTTTCTTTTGAGAAATCTGTTGGGTCCAAGAAACTGAAAATTGTGTAATATCTCACTGTTCTGCCTGCTTCTTTGTGCTTTGGCTGTTGTTTGTTTGGTTGCAGTTATTTACAGCACACTCCTGGGTTTTTTTGAGATCCTAGCAAAAAATTCCACAGGCAGCTGCAAAATATATGTTTAATCAATTTTAGGAAGACTGATTCCCTAACTAACATTTTTCTTCCAGCTGAGACACAGTAAAAACTGTTCTGCAGATACTCAGGGAAGGGGGGGGTGAAGTTTTCCTGACAAAGATGTCTTTTTTGTGGGTTGTTGTGGTGTCATAGTCATGTGGTTCTGGTAATTTAGGTACGTTGGTGTCATGGTTGAACCTCAGCTGATAACAAAACACCATGCAGGGAAGAGAATTGGAAGGGTAAAAGTGAGAGTACTTGTGGGTTGAGATAAAAATAGTTTAATAGTTTAAATACTACTACTATTACTTCCGTTGTAATGGAAATAAAATAGCAGAAAAACGAGAGAACCAAAACCCAAGCATTTTTATTAAGAAACATATTTTTGCCTGTTTTTAAGCTTCTCAGGGTGAACCTGCCAGAGCAGCCTTTGTCAGTTATGTTGTTTCTGTGTATGTTTATATGCAAAAAGAATAGAACCAGGAGTTTTAAAGCATCAGTATTCTATAGACAAACAATACAATTTGGTATTTGGTTTTCCACCTTTCAAGTGTTACTAGTGTAAATATTGCTTAGAGGAGTCATTTTGTAAATAAGGAAATAGTAGCATGTTTCTCTTAGAGTTTTGTCTGCAAAACATAGAATTCTCCTGTGTATCAGGATTAAAACTACTTGTGCAGATCATAAGTTTTCACAGAATTCACACAGAATTCAGAGAATGACCAGGTTGGAAGAGATCTTCAAGATCATTGAGTCCAACCCAGCCCCAACACCTCAACTAAACCCTGGCATCCAGTGCCACATCCAGGCTTTGTTAAACACACCCAGGGATGGTGATTTCACCATCTCCCCGGGCAGCCATTCCAGAACTTTATCACCCTTTATCACTTTTTCCTAATATCCAACCTGTCTTTCCCTTGATGCAGCTTGAGACTTTCAGATCCATGAGCTGTGATTCAGGTTTATCTCTTACTTCTGTAAAAACCTAGTTTGTGTGCTGGAGGTTTTGTATGGCAGCAGTTCCACTGCGAATTCCTTTGGGGTAGCGAGGCCAAAAGGTTTTATCGAGGGAGCATTTCCTTCTAATTCCACTGAAATGTGTGGAGTTAGACCTGATTTGCCACTTGGTTGTGTTCCTTCAGGTGTTTCTCTTTGCCCTCCTGTGAGTATCCTCATGTCCACGCTGTCTTTGCAGGTCAGGATCGCAGCGAAGCCACTTTGATAAAGAGGTTCAAAGGTGACGGTGTCCGCTACAAGGCCAAGCTGATCGGGATCGATGAGGTTTCTGCTGCCCGAGGGGACAAGTTATGCCAGGACTCCATGATGAAGCTCAAGGTGCAGTGAAACTTTTCAGTGTTACAGTCAAATGGAGTAAAATTCGGCTTGAACTTGCACTCATTCTCCTTTCATGACACTGAGCCTTAGTCTGGTTAATTATGTATCGAAATCAGTCAATTTTGTATGAACTCCTGCCTGGTATTGCTTATCCTGGTTTAATTTTAATACATTATCTCTGAGTTCTGTAGTTACTCTGTGATTGACACCACTGCAATTTGTCCACAAATTACAAACAACACACTGCAAATTGAATAATTTTATTATGCAAAAGGGGAAGTAAATGACTGTGGAGGAAAATGGGATATCAGAGCATTTTCTATGACATTTCTAATCAACTACAGCACTGCCTCTGGCTGTTACCTCCTGTGAGTGACGGGTGTAGGCAGCCAGATTTAGGGGGAACTGGTGTCCTCCTGGGAGGAAAATGTCTTGCACCATCAGTGGAAGGGCTGATGTGTTGCAAAATGGGGCAGTGCATTGAGAGGATGGGGCATGAGAACGTAAAGGAGTCCCTGGAGTTTTGGGGATGAAATGAAGCCGTGGCAAAGGCAGATTTGGGTGTACGGTTGGAGTGTAGACAGTCTGAAGTACCAGTGGTGTCGAGGGTGGGCTCTCTGGAGCAGACAGACATCCCTCTATGGCCCAGTCTCTCTCAGAGCATGAGAATTCCTGTAGGAATCATTCTGACCCGCACCCTGGGACATGTGGAAGAGCTTGAGTCACTGGGAAGGAAGGAAGGAGAGATTGTGTTTTCCTGAGTGCACCTTTGGCTGTTCACTTCCCATCTCCCCTCTGCATTGCAGGGTTACAAACCAGGTCTAGCAGCAAACCCTCTGCTGCTTTTTCCCTTTTATTTCCCTCCCAGCTCTCTCCCCAGCCTAGAGAGCTGATGGATTTTCCATTGCTGGTTTTTCAGGAGGAGAAATCACTAAATGATGTCTGGTGCACTGCCAGCCCACAGGGTTCCAGTCCATCCAGGAGGAATGAGTTACTCATTAGGGAAACAGCATGGGGTGACACTCAGCTTGTGGTTCAACAACCTAAAAGCAAGATCTGGGAGATAATTTACAAATCACTTTTATGGCAGGCAAAAATTAATCCGCTCCAAAAGTTGCTCTGTTGGTGTGTCACATCAGCCACAATATTCCTGCCTGATTTAAATGTGTGCTGGGTTTTCATCATTTCATAGCTCCTGGCACTGTGGGGAGAATTGTCACTGTTCTGCTGCACAAACCTTTTTGTCTCTCTCCTCCGTGGATTAATATTTCCACATCTCCCAGGTGCCTAATACCTGTTTGCAGGTGGCAAGATTGATCTAAACAGTACTGGGAAATGACAAAAACTGTTAAAGGAAGGGAGTGTTAGAAATTCATTTTTGAGGGCAGAGCATTAATTTATGGGCTCTGGAAACTCAGTGTCCCATAACATGAATTTTGAGGCCACCCACAAAGTCTTGGGGTGGCTTTTGACATCAGATCCTTGTAATGGCAGCAATGAAGGTCTTAAAACTTAAGTTAGCTGTTCTTGAAACATTGGAATTGCAGAGAACCAGATAAAGTCTAAATATTTTCATTTCATTTAGTAGTACAACTGATTATATTTTATCTCAGTTCAGTGTTACTGGTCAGGGCGGGCTCCTGAGAAGGTGGAAAGAGAAGTTACTGTTCTAATTCTGCTGTGGGAGAATAATGCATGAGATGGTATCAGCTAGTTCTCTTACAAAGTAAAGGTCTGAGATCCTGAAAAAAAAAATTATCCTCAATACCAGTTTGTCACAGCACAGGTGTGGTTTGATTTTTAGAAGAGTATTTTTCTTCTAGAAAACCCTCAAGTTGCTTATACTAGATGAGTGTGAAGCAAGCTGAATTAATTGGCATTTTCTGTCCTCTGCTGCTTGTTGGGATTTTTCCCTATTAAAAAAAAAAAAAAAAAAGAAATAAATAGAACAGCTTATAGCTGGGAAAAGTGTGCTAGAAATGACCTTCAGCTTCCATGAAAACAAATTTCATGGAGGATTAGCTAGTGCAGAGGTTGGAAGTGGGAGCACATTTGAAATGCTCTCTGGGTAGCATAAAGAGATGCGGTACCTTGAAAAAAGGGAGGAAGCCAGAAGCAAGGAGGGGGCTGTTCCTGGAAAACCTTTAAGTTTTCCTAGAAAAGTGGTGAATTGTCCACAAGTAAATCTGTGGCGTGTGGGAGAGTCAGAAAACCAGCTAAAACTGCTCTTTTTTGCACAGGGAATTGTTGCTGCGGCTCGATCGAAAGGAGAACATAAACAAAAAGTCTTCTTAACAGTTTCCTTTGGGGGAATCAAAATCTTTGATGAAAAGACAGGGGTAAGTAAAGTTGGTTGTGTGGTGGGACAGAGCTGAATCTTTCCCTGGTTCCTTCACAAGCATTTCCTCACTGGTGCAAACACACATGAAGCATCTCAGGAATTTGATAGAGGGTTATCGTCCCTTACATCACTTGTAGAGTGTAGCTTCTGTATTGTCAGTGGTAGAAAAATTACATTTTGTATGGAATGAGAGGTAAAAGATACTGGGAAATTTAAGTTGTCTCTGTGAAGCAGCAACTTCCCCAGTAGCATCTGGTGGAGGAACTTGCAGAGACTTTCGTGCCTTACACAGTTCCTGCCACAGCAATACCATGTTTGATTTTTTTAAATTGCTCTAAAAGAAGAAACCTAAGCAAAACATTACACCACTTGGATATAAAGCAACAACACACAAACTGTTTTAATCATAATTAAGAAGATTTTTACAGCAGTTTAAACTCTGCCTTGAATTTTAAAAAGCTCTTGATTTAATCTTTTGGAAGATTAACTATTTAACACGGTGCCAGAAATAAAACCCTACTGATGATAGATGAAATTATCTTTGCCAGTTAATTTATATTATTAGAAAATCAATGTCATTGAGCTCACTGATACATAATACGAGTAGTTAGTAATGAAAAGCTCATTTGGGATGTGTTGTGTAAAGTATCCATGCAAAAGCTGTGTTTCAGAGGGCATTGCTGGGGTTACAGAAAATGGGAAATGTCAGAATTAGGGCTGTCACTGCAAATTGCACCCCAACCACGGTTGTTTTCCTGAGATTAAAGCCTTTTATTGGGGAAATAAAAAAGGGGAAAGAGAAAGTCTATTCCTTTTGCACTTGTCTCTGAATGTTTCTCAAACACTGGAATTTTTTGCCTAATAAAGAATAAAGAGGGAAAAGGGGATGTGTTTTAGAAACAAAGGTGTGCTTTATTCCAGCTGCCTCTCCTGCAGCATCCTGCACACTCCCGTGCCGACAGAAAGTGAGGTGGGGACGTGGGAACAGTCTCCTTCATTTCATAGCTCTGACATCCCCCACTCTAAATCTGACATAACTGTATCATCCTTACAGTAAACCTGTCACTCACCCACTGAGGCTTAGAATGAAACCCTTAAATCCACCTTGCAGATGTCTGCCCCTGAGCTGCCCGAGTGATGGACAGGACTATTGAGTTGTCCTTCTGGCAGCAGGGCTGTCACAGAGGCATGTGGGGAGCTTTCCACAGCAGTTTTTACATGTTGTTGTCAGAACAGGAGAGTCGTGCTTCCCATGCCAAGGGTTTGGAGCAGAGGTGCACGAAATCCTCTGCCAGGTCTTCACAGCAACCATCCCTTGGGCTTTTTTCCCAGCTTGGGTCTCTCCTTGTCCAAGAGTTTCACACCCTTGTCCCATTCATTCTTTGTCTTTCTCATCCAGCCTGTCTCTGCTTTGCCAGCCTGCAGTTGTCATCTCATTCCCATTCCTGCTGGAAAATCCCAAAAGTTGGCAAAACTGGGGGTTGTACGGTTGCTCAGCCCAGGTTTTTGGATGGGAAGAAGCTGTAAAGAGCTGGAAAAAGATTATATTTCACTCACACTGATCTTCTAATTTCCATGTTAAACTTCAGAGTTTATAAAGTTTGGAGTTTGATGTTGACTTCTATGCAGCAAGGAGAAAAGCAGCCCTTAATAGGGAAGAGTCTGGATAATCTTGCATTTGCTTTCTCCTCCTTTAACAACCTTCCCTGTCCCCCACAATGCTTTTTCCCTTAGTTGTATTTCCATCATTTCGGAATTCCCAAAAGGGTATTTTGGAAAGATTATTTACCTCTGTAGAGTGTCTTTTCTTGACTTCTACCATTGTCTATTGCTGTCACGTCTGCCCCAGCGTCAGTCCGATGTGATAGAAAAGAATAAAAATATTCAGAAAAAAAAAGTGGGCTTCTTCATGTTGAGTGTCTTGTAGGCTGCCATTGGATTTTAATTTATCACAATAAAAAATCAATTTGTAGCTCAAAACTAGCAAATTTTTTTTTAAAATTGGCAGTGTCATAGCTGACTTCATACAGATGATTTAGGGGAATTGCTCCGTAATTCGTTACAGATGAAGGGCTCTGGTTGGGTTACTACTGAAAATGATAAGCAGGTTTTTTTCTTCCTCTACTTTATAGCTCTCCTTAATATGTTCCAGACATAATATTCATCAAAAAGTATTGATTTTAATAATGGTATTATTCCAGCCATCAGGAATTCTGCCCTTTGAGTAAATTTATCCATGAAGGAGATTGAGTTGAAGGTGGAATATCATTTGGAAAGAATATATCTCACCAAGAAAAATACAAGAATTATTTTGCTGCGAGTTTGACCTGTAGATGCAGTACAATATGGTTCATCTACAGCACTGCAATAGAAATAATAACAATCCTTTATTATATTCCATCATTCCATGCCAGGGATTACACTAAAGAGGTCCCTTCATTCCACTTTCCAAGTACTTGTCAGTGTATTTAGAACATGATAGCAAAAATTTGTATTTAATATGACTAACAGGATGTACTCCTGTTGTGTGTATGCCAAAAATTGCCATTACACATGGAGTTTGACCCTATTAGTCTTATAAATGCACCTTTTTTTTCAGCTGTCAGATGTTTTCCATCCATCCCATTTGCTTTCTCCAGATTATGTTTGCTAAATACATGCCTTACCTGAGGGATATGCATTTTCTTTTAGGTTTTACTGTAAAAAAACCCTACCATAATTATTGCTGAACACAAGACTTTCTCTACCCAATGCCACTTGAAAGATTTCCTTGCTACATATTACATGAAAATAATTTTTTTTACCATTTATTCTGTCACATCCATCTTGGTTAGACCTCAATACTGCAATATATTCTTAATTTATTTTATGGGAGCTCCTTTATATTTTCAAAAGCATGATCTTCAGATGGCAAAAATACAATTAATTACATTATGTTATTTAATATTCTCCCTTTCTGGGTGGAATGTAGTGATTGGTGATTTGCTAAGAAAGCAACAAAAGCCATGACTGTGCATATGGAAGGAAATGCAGATTTTGTGGAGGCCCAGCGTTGTTGTTGAGCTGTTGCTGAGTGTTGTTTTGTTAATCACACCCATCAGGCCATCTCCCTGTGATAGCTCAGTGATGCTTCATTAGACGTGTGTGACTAATCTGGGCTCTGTAAAGAGCCTGTAATTGTCTCATTGTTTATTTATGTGGCCATAAATCTCTGTTTACTTGCAGGTTGCTTTCCAAAAATGTATTTGAAACTAATAATTAAATCCTCTGAAATGCTTGGGAAAAGATTTCCTTCCACCTCCATGCAGTGAGGTGTGCTTTTAAACTCTTGTTCTCTCTAATTGCAAAACTCTTGTTCTCTCTAATTCAATGGCAAGCCCCTAAACTGTGAAAAAGAAATGAGATAAAAGCAAGAAATTACTATTTGGCTCTAAGCAGCGAATTATTTCTGTTAAAGTAAATTTTTTGTATTAGCTTGTGGATGTGCAGATTGCCAGAATATGCTGTAAAATACAGCTCTCTATGAGGTATTGTATAGCTAAATTATTTATCTGGATTCCTCCACTGGCCAAGAAGCAGGGTAAATCAGTGTCAGTATCTTGCTTATTTATGAGAAATACCCTAAACAGCTGGATTGTAACCCAGCTGATGAAGATGATGGTCATCTCACCAATTGTTATCTATTTTGTAGCACCCTGAAAGTGAGTTTCATTTGCATTGCTTGTTCTCTTTCAGAGATGTTGACCCCTGTTCTTATTGAAATAAAGCTCAGTCTGTGGGGTTGTAACATTTCTAGGAATGCTCTGGTGGGGTTTTGGTATTTACTGCACAGAAGTATTGCTGTGTGTTACTCATATTTCATTAATTTAATCTGCAGCCATTTTCTTCAGGCTGGCAGTGTAAAACCCAGGAAGGAAAACCATGTGTATGAATACATTTATTTCATGTTGACTATCTGTTCTTATTATCTATCAGCTCCTCCAACCTTTATTGTCTTTGCTGAGGATTTTATTTTATTATCTTTGAGGGTTTACCTGCCTGAAGTGGTGTTACTCAGTGCCCTATTCCATGTAAGGGCAACCAGACCTTACCTGTAGCATTCTATAAAAAAAAATAACTAATTTCCACAGAATTGGTGATGGTGCTTCTGCTTTAAATCTTAATGACATCCAAATAAATAATACACGTGGTGAGAGGTTATAGTCCTGTTGTCCTCAGAGTGTTCTGTTTAACTGAGGTCATGTCATGGCTCTGAAATGTTCCAACCAATGTTTTAGATGCCAGCATCTTGCCCATCTTGCTGAACTTCTAAGCTCTCTCAACCTTACAGTGAAGATTTCTCAAGTTGCTTCTCTAAAAGCATTTTCTAACATATTCTGAGGCTTTATCAGGTTTGTGGTGCTAACCCCTGGATTTGCTGCTCTTCCCTGTGCAATGTGAGTGATGGTGTTAATTATGCTGATAGATTGCTAACAGGACAGCTCAACTTGGCTGAAAGAGAATTTTAGCAAGATTAAAATTCTCACTGTTGGCAAAAGAGACCTCATTTAAAATATACCAAAGGTTCTTCTTGACTTTGCTGGAAATCTGTTGGTTCTGGCATCCCTGACCAGAAATCGAGGTACGATCATGGATCTGCAGTTATTCCTTGAAGCACATGTGCTGGAGCAGATGAAATGTCAAACTGTCAGAGTCTCTTTCACTGAGCGTCTCTGAGGCTTTAAAAATAGAAATAAAAGAAGGAATTAATTTATTCTGCTCTCTCCTCGCTCCGCAGTGAGCAGGAGAGATGGGGTGAGGAGTTCACTGAGTTTTGTGTTTGCCAGTGGGTGGGATTGGCCAGGAGGATGCTGGTGGTCCCTGCCTGGGGCTCCCACGGTGTGTTTTGTCCCTTTCATGTCTTTGAAACTTCCCGAAGTTCCTCTCTCTGGCTCATCTCAGGTGCAGCCCTCTGTGAGCATCTTACCCCATCAGCTGATCCCACACAAAGTGCTCTCA